GGGCAGCGGTGTGCAGACATGCAGTGTCATGCAACAATACAACACCTTTGGATAACATGCTTGAGGGCCGCGATAGAGCAGCAGGTTAAACTGCTAGCTACAGGAAATCTGCTGACTGGAGGATAAGCAGTTTGAAGCCACAATTTGGGGTGAGCTCCTGACTTTTAGCCCTAGCTTCTGCCAACCTAGCAGTTCAAAAGCATGCAATGCATCTAGATCACTAGCTATTGTCTCAGCAAGATGATAAAAAGGGCGCCCCATGCAGACAAGCCAGCAAAACATGATCAGAGATGTCTACGAATAACAGGTTCCCCAGCATAGCACTTCCCCATAGCTGGAGTTGAGCTCTAGATGCCGGAGATGGAAAAAAGGGAAGGCCTTTACCTTTGTCTATGTATTGTATGTCGTTGTTATTCACTGTGTAAAAGACATTTAATGTTTGCCTTATATCTGTATACTATAATCTGTTCTGAGCCCCTCCGGGGAGAAAAAGTGGAATATTAATAAAGTGTTTTATTTATTTGTCTGAATTTTAGGCTTCAGCTTCCCAGTGAGCCTGTTTGGTCCCCTGAAAGAAGTCCAACAAGGACGAAGATTCATGTCTGATGAAGAGGTGAAGGCATGTGGCTAACAGCTCAGCCTAAAATAGTTTTTAATAAGGGAATGTGAAAGCTCGTTGACAAATAGACAAAATGCATTATAAAGGAGGGAGATTATTTCAAAAAAATGTTGTAATTCTTTTTCTGAAAGTTGTTTAAAATAACTTCTACAGCCAGAGGGTGGATCATTTTGGACTCGCCTTCATAAAATGCTATTTATACAAATGTTTTCTACTGAGCTAATAATTTGTACCCATGTGCCCCCAGCAATATAGTTGATTATGGATGCGTATTCTTTGGCAGAAAAATATGAGGTACACCACGAGACAGCATGGTGTAGTGTCTCAAGTGTTTAACTATGACTGGAAACCAGGGTTTAAATTCTTGCTTGGCCATAGAAACCAACTGGATGGGCTTCGGCAAGTCACACTCACTCAGCTTCACTGGAAGGAAATAGCAAAATTCTTCTGAAAAAAACATCACCAAGATATCCCTGTGATAACAGTGATATGATTGCCATGGGTTAGAAAGGGTTTGAAGGCACCCCACCACCACAATACTATATCAAATTTGAATCAACTTGACAGCAAAATTGTCACATATGAAACAATTTTGGAAGTGCAGCATCTTTCAATTTTTGGGGAAAAGGTGGTTGTTTTATATTAAGGTTTCTTGAAAAAGATAACCTTTTATTGATTTCGTGCCTTCAGTTCAAAGATTATTGAGGTTTTCATTCCCCATTAAAACCTATGGCAGCAAGTGACAAAACAGTTATCTCATATATGCTGAGAATGGGATACTGCCAATCCACCAACATAATGCACCATAGACCAAGTCCATATGCTGTATGGTACTTCTTTTAATTATGAAATGTCACTGTACCATATGTATTGCTCAGGTTTTCATCTGATCTTGGCAGCCAAGCAGGATCAGCTCTGCTAGGTGATGTAGGATCTATTTCAGAGGAGAGAAATTCTATAACTATAGATATTTTCACATAGTTTTGCTGATATCTCAAAATATCATTCTCTTATCATATGGGGTAAATAGAAGTCCTGGTTTTAAGAATGAAACTACAGTCTAATTGTAAATGAGCTTGCTTTAGACTAATAGAATCTGAAAATCTGAAAAAATATCCAAAACACACTTTTGATCCCAAGCCTTTCCAATAAGGCACACTGAAACACAGTTCACATTGGAGAAGTCTTGCCTTTGCATTCCCTTGAGAGCATATGCCTTCCGGTCATTTCTGACTTAGGACAACCCTAAGCCTAAAGTTTAGGGTGGGGCCAAGGAAATCACCTTGGAGGGCTGCATCCGGCCCACAGGCTTTAGTTTCAGGACCCCTGGTCTACCAAAATTAGATTTTCCATGGTCTTCCTAATCAAATTCTTAGATGTACTAAGAGTTACTTACAAGGCAGTGTTTAATTGTGTGCAATGAGTTTCTTTTCAAAAGTGGGCCACTCTTTTGGGCCTGACCTGCAACAGTCAGACCTGGAGACATCAAAAAGCTTATTGAACATAAGTCTCAAAGGTGCTACAAGCTTGGGACTGCAGGCGTTAGTTTTGGGGCCCCTACTCTAAATGCTTAACTGATGTTTCAAGTTACTGCAATCCATGAAAAATGGGGTTTGAACTATCATTTCAGTAAGCAAAATTCTTCTTTGGGGAAGGAAATGCCGTCATTTGATCCTCTCCCCCTGCCCCAATGTTTTACTTATTTGAAGGAAAATCTGTCTGGGGGTGGGGGGGGGGGGGGGGGGGGTGAATCTACACTATAGAATTAATATAGTTGGACATCTTTTTAGCTGCTATGGCTCAATGCTATGGCATCCTGGATGCTGTAGTTTTACCAAACCATTATCCTTCTCTGGCATGGAGTGTTGGTGCCTCATCAAACTACAACTCCCATGATCCCATAGCACTGAGTCATATTACTACTACTACTACTACTACTACTAACTTTACCTATACCCTGCCTTTTTCCCCATGGGGACTCAAGACGGCTAACAAGCCACACTAGACAAGTTGAAAAAGTGCAATACAAGGGTTAAAAAACAATTCTGTGGTAAAAACAGAATTAAAATACAATAAATAATCGAGGTGTGCATTTTTATTAGTCCTTGTAAGTCGTATCAAATTCATTAAATTTTTACTTACAAGGCAATATTTTATATGTGGGCATGCCCTGCACCAAAAATTTAAGAATCGAAATTTACTCCATACTTTTTTTCTTTTAGTTTTGTAAATCTTGGAAGACTTCCAAAGTCAGTGTCATATTCGGTGCAAGGAAGCAAAGCTGAAAGCAAAGCCAACAAGGTTACCATAGCACCTCTGGAAATTAATGGAGTCTCGGAATTAGGAGTGGGGGCGGGGGGAGAACAGTGATTGCTGGGAACAGCACAGAACTCTGGGAAATATAGTTTGGGAAGGGAGGAGCCCTATACCAGAGAATTCAAAAAGCCCTGCCCTTAACTACATTCCCAGAATGCAGTGCACTACTCAGCACCAGAGAGATTTGCCTCTCCATAGCCAGACAGAGTTTCAGTAAATTTAATATTTAATGATTTTTGTTCCTGTGTTATCTCATTTCCTAATTGGTTCTATCATTAAAGCATGGCAAAAGTTTATACAACTGTAAGACTTTGTGTTAGCCCATGGGACAGTGTGCTATAGCACATTTTGCTATCTAGGGACCGCCTCACCGCCTACCAACCCCAGAGATCTCTCCGTTCTGAGGACCAAGATTTATTGGAAGTTTCCAGTTTTAAAACCTTGCGTCAAATAGCAACTAGACGCAGAGCCTTTACAGTAGTGGCACCATCGCTCTGGAACACTCTGCCACCAGAAGTTTGTGCCTTGCAGGACTTATCAGCCTTCCAAACATATCTGAAACTGGACTGCTAAGTTTTGTACCTGTGTATACTGAACACATGAAGGTTGTGAGCAAACCAAGTATGTTATTTTATCAAAGTCTACTTCATTTTTGTGTCTTGAGTGCATGATATAAAACAAGTCATTTCATGGGAGAGTTAAACCGCTGAGCTGCTGAACTTGCTGACTGAAAGGTTGGTGGTTAGAATCCAGAGAGCAGGGCAAGCTCCCACTGTTAGCCCCTGCTTCTGCCAACCTAGCAGTTCAAAAACATGCAAATGTGAGTAGATCAATAGATACCACTCAGGCAGGAAGGTAATGGCACCCCATGCAGTTATGCCAGCTCCATGTCCTTGGAGGTGTCTACGGGCAAATGCTGGCTCTTTGGCTCAGAAATGGAGATGAGCACCACACTCGAGTCGGACATGACTAGACTTAATGTCAGGGGAAGCCTTTGCTTTTACTATACATATTTTGGGCACTGAAAAGCACACATAAAGCTCTGTTTTATGTACTGGTAAATCTCTGTTTCCCTAACAGATCAGAGATAACAGATTATTCAGTCTAACAACTGAAATCATTGCCTTGCATAATTACATCTGGTGGTCTACCACAAGAGAAGATCTATTCTAAAGGGTTTTTGGCTCTTTTCTGAATGGCATTTTCCAAAAGGGTATGAATGCCATTTAAAAAAATGTTTTAGAAGCAAAACGCCACAGTTTTGTAATGACTTTCGGTGGCGCAGTGAGTTAAAGCACTGAGCTTGTTGACCAAAAGGTTGCAGGTTTGAATCCGGGGAGCGGCGTGAGCTTCTGCTGTCAGCCCCAGCTTCTGCCAACCTAGCAATTCGAAAACATGCAAATGTGAGTAAATCAATAGGTAGCACTCCAGCGGGAAGGTAACGCTGCTCCATGCAGTCATGCTGGCCACATGACCTTGGAGGTGTCTATGGACAATGGCATCTCTTCGGTTTAGAAATGGAGAAGAGCACCAGCCCCCAACGTTGGACAGGACTGGACTTAATGTCAGGGGAAAACCTTTACATACCTAATAAACACACTAAAATGGCATTTCAAAGTCATACCCCCCCCCCCATTCCCAATCCCACCCAAACTCCCCATGGCAGCTAAAGTGGCGCCAAAGTGCATTCATTCCACAGTGTAGATAGGTGAGGTTTCTAGTTATTTGGGTAAGGTTTCTAGTTATTTCAAAGCAAATCACGTGGGGACTGAAGGCACGCTTCCTTGCCTGGGACAGATTTTTAAACACTCGCCCAAGTGACTGCAATCCAAAAAGAAAAGAAAAAAGGAGGGAGGATTGAATGAAAGTTTCACCCTCAATTTGCAAACACCAGCCCGCCCACAATGAGCTTCGCTTGTCGCCATGGACGCCTGAGATACAAAGTGCGGGAGACCTTTTCCTCATCCGCTTTGAGGGCCCCAAAGGAGGGCGCGGATTCCACAGCATCAAGTGGTGCCAAACTGCGTTAATTCCTCCGTGCGACCCACGGGGGGAGGGGCCTCACCTCGGGGGCTCTCGGGCTGGATGGGGCGCCAGCTCAGCCTCTGCGGGCCAAGCACCACGTCGCAGCTCCGCTTCCCGATCTCGAAAATGCCCCTCAGGAGCGGACGCGCTTCCTCCTCCTCCTCGTTTGCAGCCCTGGCGCCTTCCTCCTCCTCTTCTTCCTCCTCCTCCTCTTCGTCTTGGGAGGAAGGGGAGCCCCGAGTGGCCCCGCTCCCCTTCTCCTGGGGGCAGCCCGGGCCCTCGCCCCACGCCGTCCTCCTGTGGCGCTGCATTCAAGAGAAGGAGCCTTGGGAGCCCAGCAGGGAGAGAGAGAGAGAGAGAGAGAGAGAGCGTCGCCTCGGTGACCAAGGCAGACAGCCAGGCAGCGCGCGCTCCCCCGCCCTTTCCCGCCCTCTTCCCCTCAGGCGGCCCCGCGCGCGCTCCCGGCGCCTGGGGATACAGGGCTGCGCGCGCCCCCGGGGCTCCTTTTGTCCCTTTTCCCGCCAGGCGAGTCACACTCACTGGCAAAGCTTCACTTCCATCCAAGAGGAAGGCTTCTTTTCTATCTTATCTTTCCTTACYTTACCTTTCATTTCCTTTTTTTCTCTTTTTCTTTCCTTACCTTTCCTTTCCTTTTTTTCTGTCATTACCTTTCTTTTCCTTTTTCCTTTCCTTTCCTTTCCCTACYTTACCTTTCATTTCTTTTCTTTATCTTAGCTTTCCTTTTTTTCTGCCCTTTCCGTTCCTTTTTTCCTTTCCTTACCTTTYTTTTCCTTTCCTTTCTTTTCCTTATCTTATCTTATCTTATCTTATCTTATCTTACCTTTSCTTTTCTTTCCTTATTTTTCCTTTCATTTTTCTTTCCTTTCCTTTTCTTTCTTTCTTTTCCTTATCTTTCCTTTCGTTGCCTTTTCCTTACCTTACTTTTTCTTTCCTTTTTTCCTTTCCTTTCCTTTCCTTACCTTTCTTTTTCGTTTTTTCTGTCCTTACTTTTCCTTTCCTTTTTCCTTACCTTTCTTTTCCTTTCCTTACCTTACCTTATTTTTCTTTTCCTTTCTTTATCTTACCTTTCCTTTTTTCTTTCCTGTTCTTTCCTTTCCTTTCCTTATCTTACCTTACCTTACCTTTCCTTCTTTTTCTTTCCTTACTTTTCCTTTAATTTCTTACCTTTCCTTTCTTTCCTTTCCTTATCTTTCCTTGTCTTTTCCTTACCTTTCCTTGCCTTTTTTCTGTCCTTACTTTTCCTTTCCTTTTTCCTTTCCTTACTTTTCCTTTCCTTTCTTTATCTTATCTTATCTTTCTTTTCCTTTCCTTATTTTACTTTCCCTTTCCTTTCCTTTTTTCTTTTCTTTCTTTTCCTTTCCATATCTTATCTTTCCTTTTCTTACCTTCCTTTTTCTTTCCTTTCCTTTCCTTTCATATGAACCAAAGTTGGGAAATACAACCTGCTCTCTTGATCTGAGCACTGGATAAGAAAGTGTCGGTACAGGCCTGGGCAAGTCCAAAACAATTGGAGGGCTGAAGTTTGCCCAGGCCTGGTAAATACAGTTAAAGAACTCTTCTACATTGCCATAGCAAATCCAGATTATCTGCTTTGAACTGAATTATATGGCAGTGAAGATTCATACAATCTAATTCAAAGCAGATTATCTGGATTATAATCGATCAGATGGATTATATGTCACTGTGCCGTGACACACAGCTTTCAAAGTACTGCTATTGAGTTGATGCAGTTTGACACCCCTTTAACTGCCACAGCCACACTTTGGCAAAGTGTGGCTGTGGCAGACAAAGTGTGGCAGACCTTGTCAAACTACAACTCCCAGGAGTCAATAGGATTGAGCCAGGGCAGCTAAAGTGGCATTACATCTACAATGCAGATGCACACTAGGACTCTGGAGACCAGGGTTCAAATACCCCATTGGCCCTAAAAACCCATTGAGTGACCACAGACACACTCCCTAAGAGTCATGGCAAATCCCCTATGAAGAAATCTTGCCTTTAAAAAACTGCATGATGCATCTACACTGAAGAATAAATGCAGTTTGACACCACTTTAACTGCCATGGCTCAATGCCATGGAATCATTGAAGCTGTAGTTTTATAAGGCCATTCACTTTCTCTGACAGAGTGCTGGTACCTCACCATACTACAACTTCCAGGTTGCCATAGCCTTGAACCATGACAGTTAGTGGTATCAAACAACATTAATTCTACAGTGTAAATGTCCTCAGGGCCAACATAAGATAGTTGGCAATGACTTGAACACAATACCACTCATTTCACACTAGAGAAATAACGCTGAATTTTAAAAATCAAAGTTATGCCTTTATGTTTTGTCCACCAGGGCTCAATTTTAACCCAATGCTTTTATTAAATGATGAAATCCTGATACCGTGCTCTTTTCTGATTCCCATAGTCAACACTGGGAATTATTGTTAGATGTTACCTTGTAGATAACTGCTAGATGACACAATATTTCAAATTATATGAGACTTTGTATTAAAAGAAAAGATGAGTTCCTTCCATTTTTTTTTCTAGGAGGATTAGAAATGACATTTACACACACAGTAGGGAAAGCTGTGTTTCCATAAAAGCCAGTGGGGAGTTTGCAACTGACTCCTGCTTTCACCTATGCCAATATTCATATTCATAAAAAGGCACAACCAACTGGCAGTTCTCCATCCATAAGTAATATAATGAATACAGCATAAGTGTGAGTAACTTTAGACTTTATATAAAAACAACCACAACCCCCAAAAAGGGAACTTAGGTTTTATAAATATATTAATCTTTTATTTTAATCACTTGGGCCTATGATAACCAGTAATTTGTCTCATTGCTGCCATTTCTTTTTGTCATTCATAAATAGGAGATGTCCTAGGGTTTAGCAAATTTGCTGCAACCTCATTATGCTGGTTTCCAGCCAGTCTGGAGTCTGCCTTTCTGTTTGAGTTCCATGAAACAAAAGTATAGTGTCACCGTAAATAATTAGAAGTATTTTCTATAACTAGAAGTGGAGGGCAGTTGGAAAAGAGGAAGAACATATTATGAATGAGTTCATTTAGTCAAAAAATCAACCCCCCTGAGTGTGCAAGTCCTGGGCAGGGCTTTTGTAGACCTCTCCTTATTATAGTTGTGTGTCAGCAAGTCTTTTCCGATTTATGGTGACCCTAAGGCAAAGCTATAATAGGTATTCTTGGCAAGATTTCTTCACAAGGGTTTGGTTTTGCCTTCTTCTGAGGTTGAGACTCTTTCCACACAGCTGTATACAATCCACATTGAACTGGATTATATGGCAGTGTGGACTCAGATAATCCAGTTCAAAACAGATATTGTGGATTATCTGCCTTAATATTCTGGGTTATATGGCTGTGTGGAAGGGCAATGAAAGATTGTGATCTATCCAAAGTCATCCCATGGGCTTCCATAGGACTCCACTCAAATCAATAAAATTGTGTGCATAAGGAGTGAACGTCTTCAAGTGATATTTTCACCCCAAACGTCAACTTACTTAAAACCCATTCTACACTTCCATATAAAATCCAGATTATCTGCTTTGAACTGGATTATATGGCAGTATCGTCTCCTATAATCCAGTTCAATGCAGATAATGTGGATTATCTGCATTGTTAATCTGTATTATATGGCAGTGTAGAAGGGGCCTGAGATGTCTTTTGACTTGCCCAGAACTGGATTATAGTCGTCCCTCCACATATGTGGTTTTGACTTTGGGGGATTTAATTATTCATGTATTTGATTCAATAATGTTTTTCGGAAAATCTAGGTGCTATGGTGTGAATCTGTGGCCAACTTCCCATCATGCTGGAGGATCTAGAGGTTTTTTTTTATAGAAAGAACACCTCTCTAAGATCCAATCTACATGTCATATAATATAGTTTCAAGCTACATTGTATAGTTCAGTGTAGACTCATATAATGCAGCTCAATTTAACTAATTTATGACACCATAAAACCTTCCATCAGCATGCGTAAGAATGAGGAAGTACTCCATCAAGGACTCAGTGTCTCAAGTGGATGGTGAAGTGGCAGCTCCCCCTGTGACTGGAATCGAGCATATCCTGATCAAGCTGGAAAGCTGGAATGTTAAATTGCCTCTGTGTCTGTCTATATATGTTGTATGTCTAGTGGCATTGAATGTTTGCCACTAGACATACAACATATATAGACAGACACAGAGTCTGAGTCCCCTGCGCAGTGGGAAGGGCGGAATATAAATACTGTAAATAACTAAATATTTTGTATCCCTTTCTGGCATGCAAAGCACACCACAAGCCCAGAGATTGAAAAGCAAAGCCTGCCATTTAGTGTCCAACACTCTATTGGCAATTTAATCATGCAAGTGAAGGCATTGAAAGCAATTTGGGCTTAATTTGTGATTACTTTATTTGTAACAGCATGCTAAATATGTATTTCAATATATTTAAAAGTGAAAACTCTTATTTAAGCATTTACATAGCAACTCATTTGCAGTTTTTTCACCCCGCCACTCTAATATGCATTAATATATTTCATACAGATAAAGTACGGAGGGTTATCTCCCAGCTAAATAGCATATTTGGGCCATGTTAAAGTGCATAACAAATCCAGTTCTAAAAGAATCTGCTTTCATAAAATGTAAATAGTTCTATGGGTTTTTTAAAAATGTACTAGGAAAAATGCAACAGAGGTCTGTAAATCCTTAGTTAAAATATCCCTACCATTTATATTCTAGAATATATAGATGTTTGGTGGATATTAAGAAATAACAGATTTCCTGAACATATTGGTAAGGACTGGAACAGATTTCAGTGTGGTTATAAATAAAATCCTTTTGAGTGTCTGTATAGGGGTGGGCGTTTTCCTCCATTGATGCAGATTTAGTCATGGTTAGAATACATTGAAATCAGTGGTCCCTAAGGTAAGTAAAAGTAAAGGTTTCCCCTTGACATTAAGTCTAGTCATGTCCAACTCTGGGGGTGGTGCTCACCTCCATTTCTAAGCCAAACACCGTAAACACCTCCTAGGTCATGTGGCCGGTATGACTGCATGGAGTGCTATTATCTTCCTGCCAATGCAGTACCTATTGATCTGCTCACATTTGTATGTTTTCAACCTGCTAGGTTGGCAGAAGCTGGGGCTAACAACGGAAGCTCACCCCATCCTGTGGATTCGAACCACCAAACCTTCGGGTCAGCAAGTTCTGCAGCTTGGCAGTTTAACCCACTGCACCACTGTGGCCTCTAAGGGTCCTTAAATTAGCAAACTGATAAATTACTCCCCTTTAATTCAGTGGATCTATTGTCAGTATCAGTGCATCTAAACCAGGGGTCCTCAAACTTTTTA